ATCGGGTCCAATGAAAATCTTTTGTGACAATACTGGTGCAATTGCCTTGGCAAAGGAATCCAGATTTCACAAGAGGACCAAGCACATCAAGAGACGCTTCAATTCCATCCGGGATCTAGTCCAGGTGGGAGACATTGAGATTTGCAAGATACATACGGATCTAAATGTTGCAGACCCGTTGATTAAGCCTCTTCCACGAGCAAAACATGATCAGCACCAAGGCTCCATGGGTGTTAGAATCATTACTGTGTAATCTAGATTATTGACTCTAGTGCAAGTGGGAGACTGAAGGAAATATGCCCTAGAGGCAATAATAAAGTTATTATTTATTTCCTTATATCATGATAAATGTTTATTATTCATGCTAGAATTGTATTAACCGGAAACATAATACATGTGTGAATACATAGACAAACTTAGTGTCACTAGTATGCCTCTACTTGACTAGCTCGTTAATCAAAGATGGTTATGTTTCCTAACCATGAACAAGGTGTTGTTATTTGATTAACGAGGTCACATCATTAGTTGAATGATCTGATTGACATGACCCATTTCATTAGCTTAGCACCCGATCGTTTAGTATGTTGCTATTGCTTTCTTCATGACTTATGCATGTTCCTATGACTATGAGATTATGCAACTCCCGTTTACCGGAGGAACGCTTTGTATGCTTCCAAACGTCACAACGTAACTGGGTGATTATAAAGGAGCTCTACAGGTGTCTCCAAAGGTAGATGTTGGGTTGGCGTATTTCCAGATTAGGATTTGTCACTCCGATTGTCGGAGAGGTATCTCTGGGCCCTCTCGGTAATGCACATCACATAAGCCTTGCAAGCATTACAACTAATATGTTAGTTGTGAGATGATGTATTACGGAACGAGTAAAGAGACTTGCCGGTAACAAGATTGAACTAGGTATTGGATACCGACGATCGAATCTTGGGCAAGTAACATACCGATGACAAAGGGAACAACGTATGCTGTTATGCGGTCTGACTGATAAAAATCTTCGTAGAATATGTAGGAGCCAATTTGGGCATCCAGGTCCCGCTATTGGTTATTGACCGGAGACGTGTCTCGGTCATGTCTACATTGTTCTCGAACCGTAGGGTCCGCACGCTTAACGTTACGATGACAGTTATTATGAGTTTATGCATTTTGATGTACCAAAGTTAGTTCGAAGTCCCGGATGTGATCACGGACATGACGAGGAGTCTCGAAATGGTCGAGACATAAAGATTGATATATTGGAAGCCTATGTTTGGATATCGGAAGTGTTCCGGGTGAAATCGAGATTTTACTGGAGTACCGGGAGGTTACCGGAACCCCCCGGGTGCTATATGGGCCTTAGTGGGCTTTTAGTGGAAAGGAGAAAGGGGCAGCCCAAGGTGGCCGCGCGCCTCCCCCCTTCCCTAGTCCTATTAGGACTAGGAGAGGTGGCTGGCCCCCCTCTCTCTCTTTCCCCCCTCAAGGAGTCCTATTCCAACTAGGATTGGGGGAGGGGGAATCCTACTCCCAGAGGGAGTAGGACTCTCCTGGCGCGCCCCCCTTGGCCGGCCAGCCCCCCCCCTTGGATCCTTTATATACGGAGGCAGGGGGCACCTCTAGACACACAAGTTGATCCTTGAGATCGTTCCTTAGCCGTGTGTGGTGCCCCCTGCCACCATATTCCACCTCGATCATATTGTAGCGGTGCTTAGGCGAAGCCCTGCGACAGTAGAACATCAAGATCGTCACCACGTCGTCGTGCTGACGGAACTCCTCCCCGACGCTTTGCTGGATCGGAGCCCGGAGATCGTCATCGAGCTGTACGTGTGCTAAGAACTCGGAGGTGCCGGAGTAACGGTGCTTGGATCGGTCGGATCGGGAAGACGTACGACTACTTCCTCTATGTTGCGTCAACGCTTCCGCAGTCGGTCTGCATGGGTACGTAGACAACACTCTCCCCTCTCGTTGCTATGCATCACCATGATCTTGCGTGTGCGTAGGAAATTTTTTGAAATTACTGCATTCCCCAACAGTGCGCCCCCACCTTGACCGCTTCCTCCTCTCTCCCACTAAGGCCCAATAAGGCCCATTGACTCCCCCGGGGGGGGAGGGTTCCGGTAACCCCTCGATACTCTGAAAAATGCTCGACCTCATCAGACACCATTTTGATGTCCAAACATAGCCTTCCAATATATCGATCTTTATGTCTCGACCATTTCGAGACTCCTCGTCATGTCCATGATCACATCCGGGACTCCAAACTACCTTTTGTACATCAAAACACATAAACTCATAATACCGATCGTCATCGAACGTTAAGCGTGCGGACCCTGCGGGTTCGAGAACTATGTAGACATGACCAAGACTCATCTCCGGTCAATAACCAATAGCGGAACCTAGATGCTCATATTGGTTCCTACATATTCTACAAAGATGTTTATCGGTCAAACCGCATAACAACATACGTTGTTCCCTTTGTCATCGGTATGTTACTTGCCCGAGATTTGATCGTCGGTATCTCAATACCTAGTTCAATCTTGTTAGCGGCAAGTCTCTTTACTCGTTCCATAATGCATCATCCCATAACTAACTCTTTAGTCACATTGCTTGCAAGGCTTATAGTGATGAGCATTACCGAGAGGGCCCAGAGATACCTCTCCGACAATCGGAGTGACAAATTCTAATCTTGATCTATGCCAACTCAACAAACACCATCGGAGACACCTGTAGAGCATCTTTATAATCACCCAGTTACGTTGTGACGTTTGATAGCACACTAAGTGTTCCTCCGGTATTCGGGAGTTGCATAATCTCAGAGTCATAGGAACATGTATAAGTCATGAAGAAAGCAATAGCAACAAACTAAACGATCATAGTGCTAAGCTAACGGATGGGTCTTGTCCATCACATCATTCTCTAATGATGTGATCCCGTTCATCAAATGACAACACATGTCTATGGCTAGGAAACTTAATCATCTTTGATTAACGAGCTAGTCAAGTAGAGGCATACTAGGGACACTCTGTTTGTCTATGTATTCACACATGTATCAAGTTTCCGGTTAATACAATTCTAGCATGAATAATAAACATTTATCATGATATAAGGAAATATAAATAACAACTTTATTATTGCCTGTAGGGCATATTTCCTTCAAAAGCCTTATCTGCAAATGGTTTTGGAAATTGGAGATTTCTGAAGGGATACGACGGCAAATACTGTATAAAAATACCTTGAGAACCAAACCTTGTCAGAGATTGGAACTACACCTGGTGGCTCTCATTTTTGGCAAAGCCTGATGGGAATCAAGTTCATATTCTAGTAATATGCTAAGAGGATTATTGGAGATGGGGCTAAAACACTATTTTGTTAAGATATTTGGCTTGGAGATGAATCACTTGCTACAAAATTCCCTAGGCCGTGTGATGTATGCTTCACTAGTGAAGCTACTCTGAAGCAAGCTAAAACTAAAGGGTGGGATCTATTCAAATTCAGAAATTTTTACATGGAGAGACTACAGATAAGTGGAGCAAGCCCAAGGAGTTGGTGGATAATGTGTCATTGAGTGGAGATAAGATAAAGTGGCATCAAAGATCGGAAGCAAACATAATTTCACTGTTAGAGATTTCTACCTTCAACTGAAAGGGAATGATCTTGTTGGATACATATTCATATGCAAATTGATGATCCCTTTGAAGAACAAAGTTTTTTGTTGGCTTGGCTCATGCTTAGAAGTAGCATACTTACCAAACATAACCTGATCAAGAGAGACCGGGTTGGAAATGGAAAAAAAAATATCTTTTCTGCGCGCAGGAAGAGTCCATTACCCATCTTATGTTCGATTGTGCTTTTTCCAGGCTAATTGGACAAGTAATCTTATGCACATTTGACATTCCTAGACCCCCGATGATGTTGGAGACATGGTTGAGGGATGTTGAGATCTTTCCCAAAAATTCAGCAAAAAATAGTGCTATGTGGAGGAGTGACTATTTGCTGGACTATGTGGAAAACTAGAAATTATGCGTGTTTTAAGAGAAAAAACCCTGATGATCCTGGAACTGTAATTTTCAGATTTTGCAATAATTTGAGTAATTGGAGTATCTTGGGAAAAGCCCCGGACGCGAAAGCATTGAAGTGCGTGTGAACTGTGAAGCTGATCAAGATGGTGATTCAAGATGTCTACATCTTGTGATGAGGTTGAAGCATAATCTTTGAGTTCTCGAAATCTTCACCTTATGAGCTACATCTGATCGCATTTCCTCTCGTGAGTACCTGGGAAGTGTGGACAAAACTGTAGCTAGAGATTGCACTCTCTGCCTTCACCCATGTCTCAGCATTTCTTTGTTTCCTTTTGCTTTAGTTTCTTTGCTCTAAAGACTTTGGTGATTCCTTGCTTTCTTCATGTTGGATGCGCTTCTGGCTACCGCACGTCGTCTCTCCTCTTCGTAGTTTCATGATGCTGCATGCCACTCGGTAGCTTTTTTTCCTATTTTGTTTATGCTTTTTTTTGGGGCATGATTATGTTGTTGCCCCGGTCGCCTTAGTTGCTTTGTGACTTTGGATCTTTTTTTTAGCATTAAAACTTTATTCATCAAATAAGAGCAAGATCATTTACATAAGAATGCAGAATAAAGTCCGGGACAGCGTCCCAAGTTTTAGACTTGCTAAGACTAAAACTATGCTTTGCTAAGTCATCCGCTACCATATTAGCTTCTCTGCTACAATGAGTAAAACTTTGGATCTGGTTGTATGGATGGTGTATGAATGTTTGCTTTATTTATAAAGCACTTGCCTATTTCTAGAGATTTCTATAATGAAAATCGACAAGGTAGCTCGTTGTTTAAAACAAAAGCGACTGAAATAAATGCTTCGTTGGGACTTAATAAAATCTGCATCGTATGGACTAGATGCTTTGCTTTCACAATAAAACAAATGAAGTCATACCCTGCAATTTCTCGCAGTACAAAAACTCTCCGTTCATTATTATGATGTATCACTACTCAGTACTCAACTCAGTACTCATCGCCTTCGTCGTCGTCGTCTTCACCCTCGGCTCCGACCTCCTCGTAGTCTTTCTCCAGCGCGGCCAGATCCTCCCTGGCCTCCGAGAATTCCCCCTCCTCCATCCCTTCCCCGACGTACCAGTGCACGAACGCGCGCTTGGCGTACATGAGGTCGAACTTGCGGTCGATGCGCGAGAAGACCTCGGCCACGGCCGTGTTGTTGCTGATCATGCACACCGCTCGCCGCACCTTGGCCAGGTCCCCTCCCGGAACCACCGTCGGCGGCTGGTAGTTTATCCCGCACTTGAACCCAGTCGGACACCTTCAATTTGCACGCAGCAGCAACGCAAGGAAGAAGGAGAAACAGAGTCTCAATGTCAGGTGATAACAATGGAGAAACTCGAGAAGGGATTTCGGACATACCAGTCGACGAACTGCACGGTCCTCTTGGTCTTGATGGAGTGGACGGCGGAGTTGACGTCCTTGGGGACGACGTCGCCGCGGTACATGAGGCAGCAGGCCATGTACTTGCCGTGGCGGGGGTCGCACTTGGCCATGACGCTGGACGGCTCGAACACGGAGTTGGTGATCTCGGGGACGGAGTGCTGCTCGTGGAAGGCCTTCTCCGCGGAGATGATGGGCGCGTAGGAGGAGAGCATGAAGTGGATCCTCGGGTACGGCACCAGGTTGGTCTGGAACTCGGTTATGTCCACGTTGATGGCGCCGTCGAACCGCAGCGACGTGGTCAGGGACGATATCACCTGGGATATCAGCCGGTTCAGGTTGGTGTAGGTCGGGCGCTCGATGTCCAGGGACCTCTTGCAGATGTCGTAGATGGCCTCGTTGTCCAGGAGCACCACCACGTCGGTGTGCTCGATCAGCGAGTGGGTCGAGAGCACGCTGTTGTATGGCTCCACAACGGCCGTCGAAATCTGAAACAGGCAATGGTTTCAGTGAAAATGGTCTAGCTGAAACTTGCTCAAATTTTGTGAAGTTTGACTCAGGACAGAGCTAATATGAAAAGTAAATAAATAGAGAGGGAGTAATAGTACCTGTGGTGAAGGATAGATGGTGAAACCGAGCTTGGATTTCCTGCCATAGTCGACCGATAGGCGCTCCAGAAGCAATGAACCAAGTCCTGAGCCAGTTCCGCCACCGACAGCATTGAAAACCAAGAAACCTTGGAGGCCAGTGCAGTTGTCCGCCAATTTTCTGATCCGGTCAAGGCAAAGGTCCACCACTTCTCTTCCAACTGCAGCATCAGAAACAGGGTTTACAGAAAGGAGTATTTGTTAGTAGGAACATAGGGCTGTTTCCCAAGCATGACAATTTTAGTACTCGACCTTGTAGACATTTCAGACAGCGTGCAAACAGCTCAATTTCAGCTGTCTGAAACGACTTATAAAAAAGAACGGAGGCAGTAGTTAAACTGGGTTGCCTCAAGGATGAAAGGGTGTTCTATTCCTTGTATGGGCACTAAACCTCAGCATGAAATGATTAAGTTATGGACATGACTCCCACCTGACACCTGTAGCATGTTGCTTGCAATTCGTGAATTCTACTCGTATTACAATTAGAGACATTTTCAATACCCATTATTTATATTGAAATTCAGTATAACGCTTCTGAGCTCGAAATTCCATATGGACTCTTGACTAAAGTTCTTTATCTTAAACAATAAGAAAAATATATTTTCTATTTCTCAGCCGTATTAAAAATAACCAATTAAATTGTGCACAACTGACAAAAAGAACTGACCAGTTGCTCATTTCCAAACATAAGTTAGAACAGAAATTATAAAATCTTCAACTACCCAAATTTCATTAGATGACGAATCGACGATCAACATTCAAGATCCTCAAATTATAAATAAGAATCGCTCAGTTGACTTCTAAATAGTTGGTGTTCAGAAAAGATCTTTTTGGCAAAAAGGTAGGTGAGGCCGAAGCATGGTACTCTACCTGTGTAGTGTCCGCGGGCAAAGTTGTTAGCAGCATCTTCATTGTGGGAGATGAGCTGCTCAGGATGGAAGAGCTGGCGGTATGCCCCCGTCCTCACCTCGTCGATGACCGTGGGCTCCAGATCGACGAACAGGGCCCTCGGAACATGCTTCCCTGAACCCGTTTCGCTGAAGAATGTGTTGAATGCATCCTTTGCAACCCCAACCGAGGTATCACTGCAATCCGATGATAAAAACTTCAGATGGAGCTGGTCAGTTTTTTCAGATTCTATCATGCAAAAACCAAATTGATCCTGAAGCAAGTGGTGTCACCAAATCACAAACAATACTTCGGGCTGTGCTGCTCAGGGGCACGCTAAAATTAAACAGGATCATCCAACCCATCTAACAAAAAAAATCCAGGGGTCTTTACATATGTTCACCACCCACAATTCAAGAACACCATCAGACAGAATTCTAATCAAGACAAATTATTCTTCAGGGGAAGACTCGGAGCTCTGTAAGGAAGAGGACAACAAATCGGAGCAGAGGAGGAGTAGCTGACCTGGGCATGAGGCCGTCGGGCTGGATGCCATGCTCGAGGCAGTAGAGCTCCCAGCAGGAATTCCCCACCTGGATGCCCGCCTGCCCGATGTGGATGCTTATGATCTCCCTCATCTCCCTCTCTCCCTCTGCGTGCTCTGCTCTGCTCTTGTGCAGCTCTGTCGCCTCGGAAGCTCAGAAATAATAGCACCTGCGCGAGGAAGCAGCCAGAAGGAGACGGAAAGGGCTTGCAGAACAGGGGGGAAAAGGTTGGAGGAGAGAAGGAGGAGCTAGGCTGCACGGCGGCGTTACCGGACTCGCGAGCTAGCGGAAAGCGATGGATGGATGGATTACACCGCACGCACGTCGGAAAAGCCACCGGTCGTAGGGACAAAATCACTGGGCGTGGACGACCTGGACCATGTCTCGCTCCCACCACCGGTGCCAAACCGAATGCTGCCACCATGATGGCGAAGGGACGATGCGTCGCTGCCGTCGTAAGACCGCAACAAGACGCTATCGTCGAAGGCGCCGTTCACTGATGAGTTCAACGGCAGGGGTGCTGGCTATCTTGATGTGAAGGCACACGGCCATGATGCTTGGAATTAGCCGCTGGCACCACTGCTCACGATGGGACTCTGCTGTGCACTAGTCGAATAGCTAGCTAGCTATCTATCTACTCATGTTATTGGAAAGTACTCCTAGATGCAATGAATTGTTCAGTGTCAAATACAGCAACCACGCACTGACGCACATCACTTCGATACTTTGATCCTACCGCCAGAACCACGAGACTGTCGAGAGGTGGAAGCTAGCAACACAAAATTGTTTATTTTGCAGTTTCTTGTTTGGTCATCCGCTGATGTTCATCACCATGTCGATCCACGGATAGCCGCTGCTGCTTCCACGTTCCAAATTCTCGGTCCCCGTGCCAGTTCGATCTGTGAACATTCCTTCCCACCATGCCACTCCACGGCACGGCAGGCAGCAAAAGCAGGGGCCAGGCTTCGCCGGCGTGCTGCTGGCTACTGCGAGAGGTTGCACATGCCGGGGTGCAGCGGGCACCAGAGCGGCTGGAGGGGCTCGGCGCGGATGCCGCGCGCCACCATCCGGTGCCTCCAGTCGTTGAGCCGGTCCGTGGCGTTGGCGTAGCGCTTCCGCCCGCTGGCGCCCTTGTTCCCGGACCAGAGCGTCTCCGCCGCGGCGGCGGCCCTGGGCCAGAGCCTGCCGTCCAGCACCGCGGCGTCCGACTGCTCCGACCACAGCGCCACCTCGCCGCCCAGCACCAGGTTGGCCTCCTCCTCGGTGAGCCCGTGCAGGATGTCGTAGTCGTACACGCGCTGCCACGTCTTGAAGGGCGCGCACCACGACCCGCCCGTGCCCCCGGGGTCGTTGAACAGCGGCGCCCCGTCGCCCTCCTCCTCCTGCTTGTCGTACCGGCTGTCGTTGCCCACCCACCCGCCGTGCCCGCAGTCCAGGTAGTAGTAGGCCGCCGAGGAGACGATGGCGCGGTACCCGGCCGCCACGATCCGCTTCGTGTTCTCGGCCCCGTTGTTCCACGTCTGCAGCACGGTGGTCTCCTTGGGCAGCGCCGTCGCCCCCACCATCACCTTGGGCCCCAGGAGCACGTCCTCCCAGTACACCACCGTGCGGTTCAGCTCGTGCACCATGAACGGCCGCGTCGCGTTCACGAACAGCTCCAGTAGGTTGTCGTGCGTGCCGCCCTCGCTCAGGAACCGCCGCACCACCGGGTCGTCCTCCCAGCACGCCGTGTTCACCTCGTCGGCGCCGCCGTGGAGGAACGGGTCCGGGAACAGGGCCGACAGGTCGCGCAGCACGTCCTGCGCCACGCGGTACGCCTTGGGGTTCAGCGGGTTCAGCTGCCCCGTGCAGGGCTCCGCCGCCAGCGCGGGACTCGCCGTGGGCGCCCAGAACTTGTTCGCGCAGGTCACGATCTCCGGGTACGCTCCCGCCCACGAACCCGTGTGCCCTGATGAAATGTGCGCAGCAATGGCATTGAAGATACCGCGGTGGACAAATGCGGGGAGGACGAGGTCGGAGTTTCTTACTCACCAGGCATGTCGATCTCGGGGATGACGCGGACGCCGAAGGCGGCGGCGTAGTTGACGATGCGGCGGACGTCCTTGTCGGTGTAGCGCATGAAGGGGGAGTAGGAGCCGAGGTGGGCGAGGCTGGGGACGGTGGGGAGGACGATGGGGAAGGACTGGGCGTCGGTGATGTGCCAGTGGAAGACGTTGAGCTTGTTGAACGCCATGGCGCGGATGGTGTGGAGGATGTCGCGGACGGGGTAGAAGTTGCGGGCGGTGTCGAGAAGGATGCCGCGGTGGGTGAAGAGGGGGCGATCGGAGATCTCGATGCCGCTGGGGACGATCGACTGGCCGCCCGCAGCCTCGCCGCCGCCGACCCATGCGAGCTGGGAGAAGGTCTCGAGGCCGCGGATGGCGCCCCAGGGCGTGGCCGCGGAGATGTCGGCGGAGGCCGAGTCCGCGGGCACGGAGAGCGTGTAGGACTCGTCGACGTCGGGGCCGAGCGGGACCTTGGCGTCGGCGACGGAGAGCGTGAGGAGGCGGACGGGGACGCGGGCGAGCGTGTAGTTGGCGGGGGGCAACAGCGGCGTGTGGCGCTCGGCGCGGATGTGGCGGGTGTAGTAGGCGATGGCGTGGCGGAGGGCCGGGTGGGGCGGCACCGCGCGGATGCTGAAGGTCGGGGTGAGCGGCGCGTACACGACGGACGGCCACGAGATGGACGTCGGCTTGGGCCAGACGAACACTTTCTGGTGCGGCTGCGGCGGAGGAGGCTTCGAGGGCGGCGGCGGGCGGGCGGCGGGTGCGGCCGCTGGGCGGAGGAGCAGCAGGAGGAGGACGAGATACGGCAGTGCTGCTGCCATGGCCGGCCGGGGTTTAGGAGGAGTGGATGAGGGATTTCGGCGTGTTCGGTGGAGTGAGCTGCGGCCATTGGGGATCTGGTGGTCTTTTTTTATTCTTTGAGTGGAGGGGATCTGGTGGTCAGTCGCTCTACTTTTCTCTGGCTGACTCGGTTCGAGGGCTCGGCATATGCCCCATCCGCAATACACGGAGGTAGAAAACCCGTGAGGTGAGACGGTGAGCAGCTAGTCGGCGAGCGTTTCTTCGGAGTGTTTACAAATGAATGGTTCGGGAGCGCTCCGCGCACAACATTTGTGGCGCGCGGAGGTTACAGGAGAGAAACCAGCCAATGTGGTCCTGGTTTTTCATTTTCGTTTTTTTGGTTTAGTACGTTTTTTTTGAACCGGGCATTACCCCTTTCCATTACTGCAACATAACGGAAATATATCAAATGTCCAGAGAAAGAGGCAGGAAAGGGGAAAGCGAGTTCAGGCATCGCCGGGAAACCCACTGTAAGCACTCGCCATCGAGATTACCTACTGTGGGACGAAAACCCGGCAACACCATTACATCACAGTATCAAACCAAAACTACCAGACTGTTTTTAGTAAGCAAGGATAAAAGGGTCTAATCACCCAACCCACACACAACCAGTATAAACAGCTTCCCTCTTAGAGCAACAGCAGCAGGAACCACCTCTTTTGTACTTGGTCTTCTTCATTTGTTCTGGCCTCAGCAGGCTCCCTCATCCTGATGCGCCCCAGCACATATCTGCATCAGTCTTGAAGCATTGCTCTTCAACATGTTCGCTCCAGTCCTCAAGTCCTCTGTGTCCTTTTGCTGTTTCATCAACCCTGCCTAGTAACAAAGGAGAGCACAAGCAGAGAAAATGCATTCAAAAGGGTTTCTCAGAGGTACAAATTCGAACGTAACTCTGTTACGACACGTCCAAATCGCCCAACATATGACAGCAATGCCCACTGTGTAAAAAACTTCCCCTTCTGGGAAAAACGAGTGGCACCACACATATGCTTGCCATAGATTATTTGGGCATAAGTCAGTCCCAAACATACAAGCCACTGCTCTCCAAGTTACCCTGGCCACTGGGCAGGTAAAAAAGAGATGCTGGGATTCTCTTTTGCTGCACAAAAGGAGCATTTTGGGTCTTTTTTCCACCCCCTGTGCTTCATCACATCTCTAGTTAAAATAGCATTTTGCGATAGTTGCCACATAAAAATTTGGATCTTCAGAGGTATACTTGCCCTCCAGATCCAGTTATAGTCACACCCCACAATATGCTTTTCCAAGAAAGTGTAAACTGAACGGGTGGTGAAGTAAGTTTTAGACCCCAGCCCCCATTTGATTTTGTCCTCCTCACCAGAAACGCAAATCTTACTGACTGTATCTACTATCTGATGCCACCGTTCCCCCATTTCATGGTTTAGCCTTCTTCGAAAGAAAGGCATGGGATCAGCCGTAAGACAAGTATTGATAGTACATTCAGGAAAATTGCATATAGAGAACAATCTGGGAAATTGTTCACAAAATGGAACTTGATCCCCAATAGGGTCCTTCCAAAGTCTGGCTATATTACCAGATTGTATCACCACACGTCTACCTGCCATATAAAGATCTTTTACTTTCATTATTGCCTTCCAACAGGGGGAGTCGTTGGTTTTCCTTTTAACCGAGGCAATAGTATCGCTGGTTTTCAGGGGGAGTCGTTGGTTTCGTACGTTTTGAAGTCTAACCCTCGTAGTACTTCTATTTTTGTTTTTTTCCTTTTCGCGTGATAACAGACACAAATACTAGGCTACCGCGTTGTTGGTTCTCTGTTTCCCTTTCTTTTCGCATTATATTTCCGGGAAATGAAGATTTATAGGGTAATTACGGGCGGGGGTTTCGAACACTATCGAATGTCAGCTTTCAAGTAAGCAAAGATAAACTTTATCATGCACGCACTAGGGTGGGAAGCATGTTCAGGCATGGGTGTCGACCGTCCAAGCGCACAGATTTGAATGAAGCCTCTATTATAGGCACAAGCGTATAGTACCAGAGGCATGAGGTGTATCAGCTTGCTGACTTAGACCAGCGGCACAGTCATGTAGCTTGTTATATTAGCTTGGTCGTGTAGTGTGTTTGCCATTGCGGTGGCACACAACGCCTCCGACGCAAGGCGTCTCCTGCTCGCCTTCGCTCATTAAATTTTCATAAACATCTTGAAGGGGGCCTGCCGATGTCAAAACTGACAGATCTCGGGGTAGGGGTCCCGAGCTGTGGATCTCGGATTGAGGGTAACATGAACGGAGGAGACGATGTTTACCCAGGTTCGGGACCTCTCGACGGAGGTAACCCAGGTTCGGGACCTCTCGATGGAGGTAAAACCCTAAGTCCTGCTCTTTTTTATATTTATGAAGTTGAATCAAGTATAGAGTTTATCTACCTCAAGATCGTAATGTGTGGTCTAACTCTAAGGCTAGGTGAATGATTTTGCGTTGATGTCCCCTCTACGGGCTAAAACCTCTGGCTTATATACACGCCAGGGAGGGTATCTAGGGTTACAAGGCTAGCATCTAGGAGCAAGGCGGCAGGAGGGATCTTGGAGTATACGTCAAGTCTTCGGTGGAGGTAGTCTTGATCACGCCTCCTGCGTAGGGCCTCAGGAGTCCATCTTGACCACAAATGAGGGCCCATGAGCCCAACCCGGGGAGAATGGGCTGACTGGGTTAGTACCCTCTTATCCAGGACACCGTCAGTAGCCCACGAACTGGTCTTCTATGTCAACGATTTCTTTCCCGATAATAATAACCTCGGATCCGGAGTCCTTGGCTCGACAGATGAGTTCCACCTTATAATCCTTGGATCACCCCTTCAAATGAGCAATGCCAGCCGAGGCTCAGCCGAACTTGTACTATCTTCCCGAAGAGGTCGGATAACTTAGCCTCGAAGGCCAACCATCTCGGTGTGGATAATCCCACTTAGTCTGACAACTTTATCGAAATGACTCACCCCACGATAGGTCGAGCAGTTATCGCTTCCCCCAAATCGCGGCAGACTAAGTTATCCTGTCGCGATTACCGGCCCAACCCGGGGAGAATGGGCCGACCGGGTTAACACCCTGTCGGCATTCTGGGAACGGGGGTACCCAGACTCGCCTGCCTGCGGCCCACGGCGTGGCTCTGTCAGCAGCCCAGTACGACCCAACTTCAACATCGACAACCCAAGACCCTCACGAGGGGCCAAGTGTCGGTGTCAAAACCGGCGGATCTTGGGTAGGGGGTCCTGAACTGTGCGTCTAGGCTGGATGGTAACAGGAGGCAAGGGACACGAAGTTTTACCCAGGTTCGAGCCCTCTTGATGGAGGTAAAACCCTACGTCCTGCTTGATTAATATTGATGATATGGGTAGTACAAGAGTAGATCTACCGCGAGATCGGAGAGGCTAAACCCTAGAAGCTAGCCTATGGTATGATTGTTCTGTATGTTGTCCTACAGACTAAAACCCTCCGGTTTATATAGACACCGGAGAGGGTTAGGGTTACACAAAGTCGGTTACAATGGTAGGAGATCTACATATCCGTATCGCCAAGCTTGCCTTCCACGCCAAGGAAAGTCCCTTCCGGACACGGGACGAAGTCTTCAATCTTGTATCTTCATAGTCCAGGAATCCGGCTGAAGATATAGTCCGGCCATCCGGACACCCCCTAATCCAGGACTCCCTCAGTAGCCCCTGAACCAGGCTTCAATGACGACGAGTCCGGCGTGCAGTTTGTCTTCGGCATTGCAAGGCGGGTTCCTCCTCCAAGTACTTCATAGAAGATTTTGAACACAAAGAATAGTGTCCGGCTCTGCAAAATAAATTTCCACATATTGCCATAGAGAGAATAATGTTCACACCAATCTAATCTGCTGACGTATTCCGTAGCATGACAACACCACGGCCAGGCCTTTATTCGAATCGTTTTATTATCCCACCTCAGCATGTCATGCGAGGCGGTTTCCTTGGCATGTCTTGTTAAAGCAGAGATCGTGTCCCCTTATTCCGGGATTCTCATCGATACGGGCGTGGGTAACCCAACCGCTTCTAGGACTCCTAGACTATAGGCAAGTCCAAACGGCCACGGAGAGGACGCTTGATATTCACCCTCTTTATAAAGAGACAAGGCCTTTATTTTTTTCCTCCCGTTCTCAATCAAATCCTTCCCCCACCTCAAGCTCAAACACCCAAAGTTCAGGTCAGGTGCTCTGAACCTTCAATCATGTCCGAATCTAGCCTTCAAGGCCGATGGATGCCTTCCTCCGTCACGGAAGAAGACATCAAAAAGTTGAGGGAGGCCAGATATCTGACCGTCGAGGTTTCGCATCGGCTGCCTGCCCGAGGGCAGGCCGTC